TGGTTCAGCGTAAACTTTAAGGTGCACAATCCTTAAAATTAGCTTCCCTGTGTCATATGTAGTGCACACAAAATCCAAATATTGTTAGAATTTAGCATCATAATAATCATAAACCAATGGAATTGCTGATAGTTTTGGTTTCAACCCAATGTCTCGATGACCAAGGCAAGTATGCCAAGTTTGTCATGTACAAGACACTCTGGAAAACTATCTCGTACGCAACCTGTGCTACGGGTTGAGTTGTATGTGTAGTACAATCCAGATGATACATAGAAAATGTGCTTGCCATATCCGTTGCATATGGTAAAGAAAATGTATTTCTCTTTCTTGCCAGCATAAGTTTCACTATGGAAACCATGTTGACGAATATCTCTATAGCTTAGTAGGGTACGAGTTAAACTTGGGAAGCAATGAAGCATCCTGACGTTACTCGAGTACCCACAGGGATAGTAAATATGACTCGAGTTGAGCCAACAAATATCTCATCGCATCTATCGATTTTAAAATATCTCCTTTCTCTCAATGAGAGTGGAAACATTGGACTTCCCCGAGTATAGAGTTTATGGTGCATATGCCCACAAGGCACATATCATTTTTCATCGGATTGACTCCCTTAGAAATATATATATAGACATGAAGATTCTCAAGAAAATCACTGTCGGATATATATAGAATACATACAAATGAATTTGTATCAAAGTGCTGATACAATATATTGTGGTATACAATATATGATGACAACAATACTTATGTTGTTGTTACAACATCATAAATAGACATTAATTATATTGACCACTCAGGAGATTGGAAGACTATTCATAATCTCCAAACATGTCGGTTGAAGCATATTCAACCATTACATTCTCCGTGCCTATAGGGCCCCGTCATAGCTAGTGATGTCGGATTGAAGGTTGAAGTAAAATTCAAACCTTTTCCCTTGAGGTTCATTGTATCCCAGGAATTGCTGATACAGAATAACCAGATGCTGTGATCTGGTCTAATTCCTTATGATTATAAGACACCATTTTTCTATTAGCGGTGTCATCCTGACCAGAGGTGAATCCAGGATTGCACATATTATCCCACCAGACACAAGAGTGGTCATGATGTCCATGGCCCATATAGGGCAGTGGTGGCCATTGAGGGCGAATGCCTCAAACTCTATAGCAATATGTTACCTCTATGGGTAAACCAGAGATAATTAATTTACAACCAGTAAATTAAAGACCATCATGGCTGATGTTGTAATGAACTTAGCAAAATCAATGGGTATTTCAAGAAGTTATCTTGAAACCATTAGTGTGAATCTCAAATAGCTAAATATGACATCTTGAAGATAATCTCAAAAATGGAGTAGATCTCACAGCACTAGAGAGTATAATCTGATGGAATCAGTAGATACTCACTCCTAATGCAATCATAATGTCGAAACGACAAAATATAGGCTTTATCAGTAGTCATCGATAATCTGTGTAGGCAGTAGATCCATATGACTACCGTGTGATCTCAAGCATCAATTTGAAGAAATCACCTTGAATTTTGCATCTGTATTTGCAAAAAATTGAAAATCTCAATTGCAAATAGACGTATTAATCTCGACATGTAGCAAACATGGAGATACATACATTCCGGAATACGTCGTACTCAACAAAAATACACTACTATTGTAATGAATAGTAATGATGTTGTAAACTTGATGTTCAAGTGAGAGCTTGAATTGTATAGACCTCAAAATAAATGAGATGATGTTGTATGAAGTTGCAAGATAATTCAACAAAATGAATAATATTTTGCGAGAATTCGCAATGAGATTGTTTTGCGAGAGAAAAAATAATTCTCAATCGCAAATCAGTACTCTAGAGGTACTAAATTTATCTTTGCGAGAGATAAAAACAAATCTCAATTGCAAATAATAGATGTAATGAATCTCAACATGTAAGAAACATGGAAATATATTACATCACGTTCTGGAATACAAGGTACTCTACAGAAACATAGTGTTTAAGACAAATACTGGAAATAACAGGGTCAAAACAGATCAACGCTAGTAAATAGCATTGTTAACAGGAGCAATTTGCAAAATCCCCGAAACTGAAGGATGATGTGCAAATATTAGCCTGGACCACTGAATCAGCCTGTTTTGCTAATTCTAGTAACTACAGGGACCTTAGTGTAAAGAGACGAAGAGATAAGGATCTCCATCGTGATTTCCTACGTGGGCACAAATCAATCGATTTGCTTCACAGAACCACCGCCTGGATGGTTCGAGCCACGCCGGAGGGACACCACGATGTTGGCCACGCGGACCGCGCCGACGAATCCGCGGGGTGGGGAGCAGCGCCATGTGGTCACTCTCGCGGGCGTCACCAGTGGAGAATCCTCACTGGTGAGATGCAGGCCGTAAAGCGGCGCGGCCACGGCGAGGCGCGCGAGGGCGAGGCCTTGGCGCGGACGGGTGCAGCGGCGCCAAAGGCGCGGGCGAGGGGGCCGGACGCGGTGCCGTTCGCGAGCCCGAGTGCCGCGGGGCTCCGTGAGCCGGAGCGGCCGGAGTGGCCGTTCGACGGAGTCGGGGACGGCAGGCGCGGCGGCGCGGCAGCGTAGCCCGGGACACGCGCGACCTTCGGCAGCCTCTGGAGCGGCACGCCGGCTTCTGCTTCAACAACCGCTGGGGTCGGAGGCTGCAGCGGCGGATCCATGACGGGAAAGTCGTACTGGTGCATGGGGCATACGACCCAGCCATGCACCGAGCACCAGAACGGCGGCGGCGGAGCCGCCAGCGCCGGGTCGATGCCCCCATCGGACTCGAGCCTTGGTGCAGCCGGACCGGCCAGAAGCCGGGCGGGCACATCGGGCTGCAGAGGCGCAGATGGCTGCACGGGCTGGTTCGACGGCCCCGCGCCGTTCCGGTGGTTGCGACGGAGGTCCTGGCGGCGCTGGTTCCAACCTCCACGCCGGAAGCGGCGGAGGTCGCGCACACGATGCTGGAAGCGGCGGCCACGGCCATCGACGCGAAGGAGGCGAAGAAACAGGGACATCGGAATTCGAGGCATGGTTCCGTTTCTCACCTTTTCCCTGTTCTCCTAGTCTTCTCGTCGGAATTGCAAGCCGGAGAGCGTGCTGATAACGTGTTAGATCTTAAACGAGAGAGACGAGAGACAAATGATTGAATCTAACTCTTTATTGATGGTTACAGAATCCTTATATACAATGGGAACGGACGCCTTCGTAAGACGCGACTGTTCGGGCGTGGCCGTGACGGGACGGGGATTATTCCTTAATTAAAGATGTGTTAATTAATCTTAACAGTGTCTACATACAGCGGGCGGGGCGTCGACTATCTTGCCGTAAATCTGGACAGTGGGTATGACTGGCAGTGGACAGACCGAGAGAGAAAAAAAGAGTGAGACAAATGTGCTAGGGGGAGATGTGGTCCAACTAATAGTGGGTTAGGCAGACGTCTGGACTCTCTTAAATCCCCTCCCCTATTTGGTACCGGTTTGGGGGTTCTGAACGTCCGAATTGGTCCGGACAAATATCATGACTCACATTGCATGGCTTAAAGTGTCCAGACTATCCAATTCAGACATTTGCGGGCGATTTGATGAACCATGTTGGAGTTGCCCTAATATAAGATAGGTATCTTGTAACCAGACGAGAAAATTGAAACTGAAACTGACAAGCTGAGGCAACTGCTTCGTGTGACCATCGACAGTACTCCATTCTATGGATTGGAAACTCGAACTTTCGATGCTCGAGAGTCGACATAATACCTATATAATGCCATCTAAAAGATTGTTGGGTGATGGCAACAGAGGAAACCAGGTGAGTGTATTTTGGTTATGTGCTGGTTTGCAAATGAAATGTAGAGGGTTTAACGCTACAAAGCACCAGTTTCAGTGTTCTTTTGTCAGATTACATTTGGTATCATGGACAGAAACATACAGACTATCAGACCTGCACGAATAATAACATGAACGGTTAAAGCACGAACATCCAGCAATGTCCGGAAGTGGAAACGCTGGAACAGATGCAAACTATCATCACAAGTTAATGTTGCAAGATGCTGGGACAGGCAATGGTCTTTCTAACCTAGCCGCTAGCACACCAACCCTTTTCCTTTTCGTGCTGCTTGCAACTGGAATTGTTCTAGTGAGTTGGTTATATTTTGTGTGACATTTACCAACTTAATAAAGAATGTGGACGACTGAATAAAATCTGCAAGGGCTTTGCCTTGGCATTCACCGTATACATTGTTGGTCCAATAATTTAAAATAACTATGTTCTATATTTTCGGTGCGAAACCCTAAGATATTGCGGAATCTTTGCACTGTCGAGTAGATATTAACCATGACTTCCACAAAATTCAATGAACAAAGGTTTGGTTTGCTAGTTCGCCATAGATAAATGGTGTCAACTACTCTTATGCAACCATTTATTTTAATGTGTGGTGCTCAAGCTGCTCTACAAATTAGATGCAACTTGCACATCAAGAAATAGAAAAATCTTTCTCTTTTCATCATGAGCGACAACAAGGGTACAAACCAGAAACACACTCAATGTAGACTATCAAGAAAACCACTACATAAGAAGGTAAAGTCAACTCTTTGACTCAAGGAAGAGGGACATGAGCCATAACAATTTCTAACAATTGAATACTAAGAAAATCACAAGATAATTAAAATAAAGCAGAGCCAAACCATCAGCCCAAGAAAATAGACACATGATGCGGATCAGTTGGCAATTATGTACAAAGCAGAGCAAAATTACTAAGAAATTATAGCATCAACATACAGAATATTCATTTCAGCCATCCAGGGTGCCAAGAAAAGCATAGATAAACACACAGAAGATAGAGCTTCTGATCATAATTTATATACATCAATGCAAATGAAGAAGATGCCAGCAGGCTCATACTTGATCCAATTCATAGATGTTGCAGCTCATAAGGATACAACAGTTAAGCTGCTAAGAAGCACCACCTCACTCAATATCAATAGACATCAGATGAATGGTGAAGTGTTCACAACAGAACTTTCTAAAGCCTGAAAGAAGGTATGCTCGACAAGACTTTGCTTGAGCCGATATTTAGACAAAAAGAAGTATTTGCGACCATGATCAAAACTGTCAATCAGCTTACCATCATTGTCAATGTAAGACAGACACCGACCAGAACTGACTAGCAAGAGCACGTCACCGTCCGCTGAAACAACCTCCATATTCCAAAGGTCATCAAAGGTCTCAAACTTCCCCCGTATTTCTGCAACTGGCAATTTGATTCGATACTTGAAGTTCCAAACCTCGCTTTTGTAGTTATGCAATACCCATATATCAATAGTTGTCTTGGCATAGTTACGGCTATATATGCCGAGTGTACCATCCATCTCAAAGGCATATGAGTTGGTGGAAACAATTGGAGCACGCATTGGCCGGAACGACTCAGCTATGGTGTCGAATACTATTATCGCTTTGCTTTCACTTTGAAGCGGTACATAGCTGCTTTCACTCACATAATAGACTGGGTACCAATGCAGGCTATCGCATACCAAGACAGGTAAACTGAAGCATTGTGATGTTGACTCCTGCCACCCGATGTACCTCGGCGACTGGTGAGAGCCCAATGCAAAGACATAGTAGCCAAGTTGGTCTTCAGTCGTTTCATTGTAGCTATCACGTTCAAGTAACAATCGATACTCGCCAGTAGGTTGATGCGAGTACATCCCCAATAACCGCAAGCCCAACTCATGTAGTTGTTGAAGGGGAGCAAATTGACGAGTGGCCAAGTTACAAACTGAGAAATCAATGGTGTCAGTCATGTTGTTATACCTGGAGAGGACGAGAAGGCCATCGCAGGAAGCCTCTGGATTGAAGGCCTTGTCAAGATGGGCGATAGTGTGGAGCTGGGCGGTGGCAAGGCGGTCGACGGTGAGGATGTATTCTTCGTCTGAAGCGATTGGGAGGGCTGGCTGGTGCGCATGGTGGGCAAGCAGGAAGGCACGGGTGGAGGTGGCATGGTGCCACGTCCGATGGACGGCGCGACAACGGAGGAGGGATTTGGGGTCGAGGCGAACTAGGATCTCCCAGACGACGATCTCCTCCGGAAGGCTGCCGTCATGGCGAAGAGGCACCGCTCCAGCCCTTGCGGCCTTGGCCATGGTCGCCGGCATCTTGGTTGTTGCTCCCTTCGAGGAACAAGATAAATTGTAGATTTGTGTTGGCGGCGGCGGCGAAGGGGAGCAGAGGAGACGATAGAAAGGGGAGAAATTGACTAAGATGGTTCTTTTGCAAGGTCTAACTCTGCAGGAGATGAGAGAATTCCTTATTTGGCCCTTCTGAGAAATATATTTCCTTATTGGGCCCCTAAACAAAATTTTCTTTGCTATTTAAGACAATCTCAAAATTTTATGCCCTATTTGACGTTTCCATCCATTTCGTTGCCGACTGCTACTTGAAAATATACAATTATCCTTAAAAGGAAACACTTATTGACAGAGCTAGATCTAGCAGACCTCCTGGTAAGGGATCCTAAACTAGGCGTCTAGGAATGACAGTAACAAAGACACGGTTTACCCAAGTTCAAGCTTTCTGAAGGGATAATACCCTAAGTCCCGCATGTGTTTTATCCCGTTGGACCATGGAGAGAGTACAGGTTAACTATCAAGATATCATAACTTGTGTCTACCAGCATGGCCCCTTGATTAATATAGGATACTGGGGGTTCTAGGGTACAAGATCCTAGTTGGCTACACATGAGGAGGTAGATCCCTCCACGAATCCAGTGGCTTATCATGTACGCATGTCTTCTGAATCTTCCTTGTATACGTCATGGGCTGTCCGATGCGGCCAGGATGAAACCGACAAGGAGTCCTCAACCGGACCCATCACCAGGAGTTGACATGGTAATTAGTGGCCCCTTAGCCGGGACACTGTCTCTTATCTCTCTTAGAACTTCCCTCACTCTTTGGAAATGATGAGCTTGACGACGTCGAGGCATGCATCGGTGCGTCGCTCGAAGACCAGCAACGCAAAGCTGTTGTGGATGTCAAAGTGAAGAGGGCATGTCAGGCGTCCAATGGGATGCTGCCGATGAAGACCTGGCCCTGGCAGCCCCAGCAAGGTGCACGCGCTCTGTCGCCGGAGAACCGGTACTTCATGGACACCGTCAGGTAACTCTCGAGGCGCCTACTAGGCGGTCGATCCATAAATGATGGACGCATGTCGCGAGCACATGCCAGTCACCAATGCACATGGGCACACACATCTGGACCAGCAGCTCGCCTGCCGCCCCGCCATGCATGTGTGGCCGCGACGCGATATAGGTCATCCCTCACGACCATATCGCTACACATGCCACAGCCCCAGCAAGCCGCCCTTGTTGCTCTGCGGATGCTCCATGATGGCAAAAAGAACTGACGGGCTGGGCCAAAGTGCCAAACTGGACGGTAGTGCAAAAAACCTGACGGACTGGATGCCCCGTATAATAACTATGGATAGTTTCGTCCAAGCAACAAAAAACTTACAGGCTTTCGACAGAGCATGACAACCAACTGGCCGGAGATGCCAAATTGGGCATCAATTTTGGAGGGGTGTCACAATGGGAAGAAATTCATATTTTGGCCAAATAAGGAAGCACATTTTTGAAAAGGCTCTAATAGGGAATTCTGTCACATAAGACTCCTGGTAAGCAAACGAAATAAATATTTCACTAACAACACAAAATGAACATGACCTTTGCACATGTGTCAGAACCAACGAATTTACAACCTTTCACAACGTACGGGTGGATTTTCTTAGCAAATTAACCATGCAGGATAAAAATGAGTGTGTGTAGTTTTCAATTTGCTGAACCGAAACGTAATGTGAATTATGAATTACACTTGTCTGTTTTTGTGTAGGTAGAAAATAAATTCATATCAATGTGTTCAATTAAGCTGATGTTCTAACTCCAAGTTTGATGAACACCTAAAGCATGAGCAACATATAGAACTATAGTATGAACGGGTCACAGAATGCACATGAAGTAGTCAGTTAGCAACATGAGATTGTACATACTAATATGACATATGGATCAAAGACCCCAAATTTGAATTTGAAACTGACAACCAGAGGCAACTACTTCATGTGACTGTCGACAACATTCTGTTCTATTCTTCTATGGCTTGGGAGACTCATATTTCCGATCCTTCTGAGTCGATGTAATGTCTATATAATGTCATCTAAAAGATTGCTAGGTGATGGCAGCAGACAAAATCAAATGAGGTAATAATGTCTTATATTATGGGATGGAGGGGGAGTACTATTTTGGTATTCTTCAAGATCGACTTTCATAAAGCGTACGACACTGTCCACTGGTCCTTCCTTTGGGAAGTGTTGCTCAAGCGTGGGTTCGACCACCACTGGGTAGCTCGGGTCATGTAGTTGGTGACGAGTGGTCGCACGGCTGTAAACGTGAATGGGGAGATTGGACCTTACTTCCTGACTGGACAGGGAGTTCGGCAAGGCGATCCGATTTCCCCATTTCTCTTCAACCTTGTGGTCGATGCATTAGCCTCGATCCTAGATTTGGCCAAAAAGGTTGGTCACATTAGGGGGATATGCCCCCATCTTGTGGCCAATGGAGGTCTGACTCACCTCTAGTATGCCGATGACACCATTATGATGGTGGGGGGGGGGGGTCTGACGAGGATATTCAGAATCTCAAATTCCTCCTCCTATGCTTTCAGGAGATGTCGGGCCTTACGATTAACTTCGCCAAAAGTGAGGTGATGGTCCTTGGATATTCCCAAGCCGAAGCCTATAGAATCGTCAACCGCTTGAATTGTCGACTGGGGTCCTTCCCGACCACTTACTTAGGCATGCCTATTAGTGACACGCGTCTCCTGGAAAAAGACTTTCGCCCAATAGTCGCCAAACTCCAACCAAGGATGGAACCTTGGCAGGGGAGATGGTTGTCCAAGGCCGCGCGAGTGATTTTAATGAATTCCTCCCTCATTAGCCTCTTGATGTACCTCATGGGATTCTATAGTCTACACGAATCCCTTCACAAGGAGGTCACCAAGCTCCTCTCCAGATTCTTTTGGGCTGGAGAGAATAATAAACAAAAGTACCACATGATGAAGTGGTCTGAGATCTGTAAGCCCAAGGACCAAGGGGGCCTTGGGGTCATCTCATCCAAGCGGATGAACATAGCCCTCCTCTCCAAATGGCTCTGGCGTATCCAGACCTGTGAGGGAGGCCTGTGGTTGGAGATTATTCGCGCAAAATACCTTCGCGGACAACCGTTGGCCTTCGCCTCTCGCTCTTGAGGCTCCCAATTCTGGCAAACGGTGGTCTGGTTGATGCCGATCTTGCGTATTGGGACCTCCATTAAAGTGGGCTCCGGATCCGGCACCCTGTTTTGGCTGGATAGGTGGGCCAGGAATCGGCCCTTTGCGGAGCGTTTTCACGCCTTATTCTCGATTTGTGACCACCCACGGCTCTCTGTGGCTGTTGCTCTAACCAACTTGGGCGCTGCCTTCCGTCGTACCTTTGGGGCGACGGAACACGAGCAATGGGACGAATTGCTCTCGTGTATCGCCCTTCACCCCCCTCCCTTGAGCCCAACGTGCTCTCGTGGCACCTAGAACCAAGTGTAAAGTAGTTTGGGAAGTGTAGAACCCTTTGTCTCGGGCCGCGTTGTATATATTGAGGCAAAGCCTTGGTTAACAAGTTACAAAGAAGATCGAGAGAGGAGGAGATCGACCAAAACGAGGAGATCGACCAGGAGAGGTCGTTACAAGGGATAAAGAGAAGAAGAGATAGATACAAGTTTAAACACCTCTCCTATCCCTATACAATAATTCTAACACCCCCCCTCAATCTAAACCTCAAGCCTTGCTAAGGTTGAGATTGTACTTGAACTCATCCAATCTTCTCTTGGTCAAGGGTTTAGTAAACCCATCTGCAAGTTGATCCCCTGTAGGGATGAACCGTATCTCTAGTAGCTTTCGAGCTACTCTCTCTCTGACAAAATGAAAATCCACCTCAATATGTTTTGTTCGTGCATGGAAGACAGGATTTGCTGAAAGATAAGTTGCACCAATATTGTCACACCATAACTGTGCATCCTTCGGAGCTTTAATTCCAAGATCATAGAGTAATGTTTGTATCCACATTACTTCAGTTGTGGCATTTGCTAATGACTTATATTCAGCCTCTGTACTTGACCTTGAGACAGTAGCTTGCTTCCTTGCACTCCATGACACAAGATTAGATCCCAGAGACACAGCAAAACCACCAGTGGATCTTCTATCATCAGCACACCCTGCCCAGTCTGCATCAGAATATGCAGTAACAAGCAAGGAAGAGGACTTGACAATCTGAAGTCCAAGCCCTTGAGAATACAGAAGATACCTTAGGATTCTCTTAACTGCTGTTCAATGAGTAGTTCTAGGAGCATGCAAATATTGACATACCTTGTTCACTGAGTAAGAAATATATGGACGTGTAAGTGTTAAATATTGCAAAGCACCAACAACACTTCTATAATTTGTTGCATCTTCTCGACCAAGAGCTTCTCCACTATCAACTGTAAGTTTTTCTGAGGTGGAAATTGGTGTGCTGACTGGTTTGCAATTCTCCAATCCCAACCTCTTTAGAACATCAGCTGTATATTTTTCTTGTGAGAGAAGTATGCCATCTCTGACTTGCTTTACTTCTATGTTAAGAAAATAGTGAAGATCACCTAGATCCTTGAGAGAAAATTCAAGTTTTAAATCCTTAAGCAAACAAGTTGTGGCCTCTTGACTTGAACTAGCAACAATTATATCATCAACATAAACAAGCACAAAAACAGTGATATTGCCTTTGCTATAAAAGAACAAGGATGTATCGGCTTTGGATGGTGTGAACCCAAGATGTTGTAACTGCATGCTCAACCTAGAATACCATGCTCTTGGAGCCTGCTTAAGTCCATATAATGCTTTATCCAACTTACATACATAATGTGGTGTGCTATGATTTTCATAACCTGGTGGTTGCCGCATGAACACTTCTTCCTCAAGAACACCATGAAGAAATGCGTTCTGAACATCTAGCTGTCGTAAGCTCCATCCTCTGGAAATAACAATGGACAAAACAAGGCGAATGGTAGTTGCTTTAACCACAGGACTAAAGG